CAGGAGCTCGGGAAAGGTATTCTAATTATAAACCACTAGAGGTTTTCGTTATAAACCTAGCAAAAAATTTTCACTCGGCTTGTTTTCCGATAGAATTTATTTTTACTGCTAGTAATTCACACGTCGGATAGTTATGCCGCGAGTCTCAACGCATGAAAGCTGGTTTTCAAATAGGAAGTTTGGAGTTGTAATAGACGCCGGCAGTTCAGGCTCCAGAGTACAGATCTATAGTTGGAAAGAACACAGTTATGTTAGAGAGAATAAAAATAAAAGCGACCTTCACCGTTTACCCACCATTGAATTTGGAGATGAGTTCGGTCTGAAATGGCAGAAAAAAGTCGAACCGGGTAAGGAAATTTTTATATTGAGGTTATTATTAACTAAATGCAGTCGACTTATTCCTATTTCGATATAGGAATATCATCATTTTCATCAAATCCATCACAAGTTGGGGAGAGTCACCTAAAAGAGTTAATAGATTTTGCTTTAGAGGTAATTCCACCAGATGAGGTATCCGAGACGCCCATATATTTACTAGCAACAGCTGGAATGCGTTTGTTACCAACCTCACAACAAGATGCCATATTACAAAACGCTTGTGACTACATAATGTTTAAGAGTCGATTCAAGATGTTCGAACGATGCTCTGATAACATTCAAGTGATCTCCGGTCAAATGGAGGGCATATATGGTTGGGTGGCTATCAACTATTTGATGGGAGGATTTGAATTTGATAAAGGAAATCATAATGTTGTTTCCTCGCGACAATTAGATGATAAAAAGCATACGACCACTTTTGGATTTCTGGACATGGGTGGTGCTAGCACCCAAATTGCCTTTGAACCCAGTTCTGACGAAGCAAAGAAGCATGCTAATGATTTGACCACTGTTCCTATGTGGACGTTAGACGGCCAGCAGATAGAATATCAGGTTTTTGTAACTACTTTCTTGGGTTATGGTACCAACGAGGCCCGTCGTCGTTATATTGAAGACCGAATAAAAAATTACACTGAAACACATGTGAAAATTACCAATCCGGAAAGTTCGCGAGAACAACCGGTTATCCTGCTGAAAGATCCTTGTCTGCCTGTTGATCTCGCCCTCACTGATCGAACACTTCCTCCGCCCTATTATACCTTACAAGGTACCGGTTCTTTTGAAAAATGTCTTGATTCCACTTATCCTCTGTTAAACAAGACGGCCGAATGTAAGGATGAACCATGTCTGTTTAATGGTGTGCACACTCCAAAAATTGATTTTTCGGTGAATCATTTCATTGGAATTTCCGAGTATTGGTACACTTCAAATGATGTGTTTGGATTGGGTGGCCCTTGGGATTATCATGAGTTCGTGGAAAAAGCAAAAGGTTATTGCGAAAATGATTGGAACAAGATTTATAGTGACTTTCATGAAGGGAAGTGGAATTCATCTATAGACTTGCCTAGGCTAGAGATGCAATGTTTCAAAGCCGCGTGGTTAGCCAATGTTCTGCACGAAGGTATTGGAATTCCCAAGAATCCTTCTCTTGACAAAAGAAAAGGAAAAAATGCGCCATATTTTCAGAGCATCAACTCTGTTGGCGATATGCAAGTTAGCTGGACTCTCGGAAAGATGGTATTGGAGGCATCAAGTACTATACCCTTGCTATTAGGACCACGTCCTCGGCCACCACCAAATCCTCAACATCACGGTATATTGGGTTATTACAATTTCATGATAGAATGGATAATTGGAATCACTTTGTTAATAGTGCTACTAGCTGCCATGTGGTGGTTGTGTGTAAAAAGGAATGGACCATGGAAAGGAAGGAGAATAAGCACTGGATTCATGTATTCATTTTTACTTTCGATGATACGAAAGGACAACGAACCAGAATATAACCGATTAGATGGTGGACAATATGTACCATCTATTACAATTCGGCGACGTATTATCAATATGTTAGATACTTTCTCCAGAGCATTTATTTACATTAAATGGAAGATCACGCACAAGATAAGCTTTCCATTTCGTAGAGCATTTGTCAAAAAGGTGATAATTCCTAACGACGATGCATCAGTCCAGGTGGCAATTATGGATGATGTAGAAGAAATGGTTCATGTACGAACATCTCCTATTAAAGAGAATTCACTTGTAGTTAATATACAAGATATTCCACCATCTCCAATCACAGAGAAAGGATCACCGACCGAGCAATACTTTCCATCGCAACGGTATATTTCCAAGAAACGACTTAGCGGTGATAGCGCAATACAAGGGGGATCATTTGAGATGATCAATAAAGCGTTTTCGACACCAGTTAATTTATCATTGACAGGACTGCAATCACGAAATGGCAGTGTGACAAGTCTGGGAAAAACCAAGACTATAAACACAAGTAACGTCAGTTTGGGAGGCGTACAAACGGGGGCAAACAATATTGGAGGATATCCTGGGGGCAATTCTGAAGGAGGAACCATAAAAAATACGGTGGTGAGTCTAAATAACGGCACAGCAAATTATCCATTACGAAACTCAAGATCAATTTCATCTCTGAATCCTGGATGGGTATTAGAATCCATAGAAGATAATAATGAAGATGAACTAGGAGTAGTAGAATATGAAGCAGCAGACTTAACTTCTTTAGGACAAACCGCAACTTTGTCATCCAGATCTTCACAAAATGGTTCAAGTTCATCTTCACCGACCAAAGTTGATGATACAACATCATGGTACTCCACATCCACTTCGACACGACCATTTAGTTCGATCAATACTTCTCCTAGGAACTCTATTCTGTTACCTGTAAGCACACAGGCGACAGGGCTCACTAATAGTCCTAATGTTGAAACGACAATGTCACTGCCAAATAGTAGTGGATCAGTAGGATTGAATAGAATAGGAAGGACATCGAGTCCTGATAAAATCACTAACACTAAAGGACAGGGTGGTATTCAAAACCTTGAATAATAGAGATATACGTATAATTTAATGATCTCTCTGGTTATGAGAAATTTAAGAACGATTATTTATTACTAATATATATTGTTAAGTATTTTCCGGAGGCGAAAATCTCCTCGGCGGTGAAGATCTCAATTTAAACTGCTTAATTAATGTCTTATAATTAATCTGTACTATTTTAATGTAGTTTGTTTTTTTTTCTGTATTTTTTATATACATATCTTTATAAGGCGGGTGGAATACAAGATACTAGAAATAGACATCACACTATGGATTATAGTAAAAAAAAAAGTTATTGTAATGTAACACAAAGATACCAGACGTAATGTAAACATTCCAAAAATCATATTGCAAATAAATACTATTTTCAACATTTACATTATTGGAGATTCTGAGGAATAATGCAACAAATTTAATTTTGAATCTGATGAGATTTCTTCGAAATTTTAAGGGAAATTTTACAAAAGCTACTAATTCTTGTAAAAAAACGTAAACACGTCAAAGGGCATGAAATAATGTATGTAATTTATAGCTTAGATCAATGTTTGAAAAAAAGTTTATTACATACAGTACATACAGTACATACAAGTTTATAAAAATTTATATAGAATTTTAAAGTTATATTGTAAGTTACAAAAATCTTTATGTAATTTATAAGTTTAAAAAATAATATAGAAAGGTTAAAAAATTAACAATATATATATTAATTATTATGTTTTTCTTTAAAAAAAAATGATTTGTTCCAAACAAATTAAAAAATATTTAATGCTTAAATTTGTTTTTTCTTGCAATAAAAAAACAAATAATTATATTTTTCAAAAACGATATAATAAATTTATAAAATTTGGTATTAAGTAATTTTTGAAGTTTTTTATATTGATTAACTAATAATTAATAATTTTTTTTTATCTGAATATTCAATAAAATTTAAATTTTTAAAAATCAAAATATTTAAATCTTTTTTTTTTTTTACTAATTCTTTTATCAATTCAAAATAAAAATTTTTTATTTGCTGATTTTTTTTTTAAAAAAAAAACTTTTAATAAAGTTTTTATAAGAAAACTATAAATTATATATTTGAAAAAATTATAATAGAAAGTTTTTTTAAGAAAAAAAATCAAAAAAATTAGTTTTTAATTATTTTATCAGAGATTTGAAATTTAAAAAAGGTTTGTTTTAAAGTTAATTTTTTTTTTTTTTTTAGTATATAATTTTTTTTTAATTTTTCTAAAGAATTTGTTTATTTTAATTTTAATTTTTAATTTTTAATTACAGTATATTGAATTTTCAAATAATAATTAATCAAAATTTTGAATTAATTTATTAATAATAAAATATAATAATTAATTAAAAACTGTATGATTTATTTTTTAAAAAAAATATAGTAAAATAAATAAAACTTTTTTAAAAAAATCATTTATATATAGGGCTCCTATAAAGACCTTAAGCAAAATAAAACTTGTTTATAGAAAATAGGTTGAAATTAAATTTATATATTTAGTATATATATTTAGAGTATGCCGTTGTTATTAAATGAAATAAGATGAAACTGGAAAATCCTAATCATTATTTCTGATTACCACAGTATATTTCTTCTCGTCTTGTTAAAATAATTTTATTGAAAAATAGTTGATATAAATTCGAAAAGATCTTAACTGAAAGGATCCAATGCCATTAATTATTTCATATCCTGTATACTTAGAGCCTAAGCTATTACGAGTAAGGTATCTTTAAAAGAAAGTTTCTGTATTGCTTTGACTATTAATATCACCCAATAAAAGATACTACTTAGGATAAAGGAAGATAATAATAAGTAACAAGAAATAATTGTAAAACCCCTTTGTGTTAAAAAATATATTATCTTATTTGGAAGGATCTGTTTTCGCATAAACACGAATCTTTATTCAAACCACATTGGCGACCACTAATATTTTCAACTTGGCTTAAAACCCATCATTTTGACTCGTAATATAATCGTGAAATTTATTTTTCAGCGTATTACTTTTCAACAATATTTGTAAGAAACATCTAACCTATATCTCAAATGTTCCCCAGAAGTTATCACCTTCCCCTTGGCGCCTTCCTTGTATCCAACTTTATCCCATACTTTAGTATTCTCATCTAGTACATCGATAATTTTGCTCGGAATTGGATCTAGTCCGACATCATCCTCTGCGTGACAAAAATATGCGATGCTATATCTGTCATTATCAGGGGCGAAATTTTTGTCACCAGAAGTTTTATTATTTCGAGCTACCACACGGTGTACAGTTGATTTAAATAATCCTTTAGTCCAGAATTCGAGCAAGTCACCAATGTTTATTAACACGTGATTAGGAATAACGGGCGCCGGAATCCAGAAGGATGAATTGGAGAGAATCTCCAGACCTCCAATATCCTTTTGAATCAAGACTGTTAGAGATCCATAATCCGAGTGACTAAATATATAATAAATCAATTCAATATTCTTTTAAATGTTATAATATTTTAAATAATGAAAATAAAAAAAAAAGTTTACTAATAATGAATTATAAAATTATAAAATAATTAATACTATTAAGGATAACGAAGAAAATGAATTTAACTTATATTATTCTTTACAAGAACACAAAATCACAGTATAGTAATGAGCGTACATTATAATTATCATGTGATATTGGTAAATACAATACAGAAAATTCGAAGTCCAAATCATATTCCAATTTTTGAATCCTGAGGAAAAAATGGGGTCAATACCAATTATTGATTTCTCATTATTTGATTATGATCAAACCACCTGCTCAAAACAGATTAGAGAAGCGAGTGAAACGGTGGGATTTTTTTATTTGAAGGTAAACATCATTTTAATTTTAAATTTAATTTTATGATTATTTAATTCAATATTATTGTATAGATCAATTATTAAACTTATTTTATAAATATTAAATATATCACAATTATAATAATATAAATATTAATTTTAAACTATTAATATTATTATTAATTATGTATATTTATATACTTTTTATTTAAAGGATTTATTAATTAAATATCAAAATATTAAATTTTAAAAATTAATTTATCAGAAATCAAACCAATATTTGCAAGAGTTTTTTCAAATTAATATTTAATAAAATTAATTAATAAGTATAAAAAAAAGTAAGTACTAATAAAAAACTTATATTATCAAATAATAATATTTGCTTTTTCAAGTAAATCAATCTAATAAAATATTCTTAATAGTTATTTAGTTTTGTTATTAATATGAATTATAACTTGAAATTATAAATAAAATATATTTTTAAATTTAAATAATAATATGCAAAAACTATAATAAAATATTAATATTGTTATAATGAAATTATAATAAATCAATTACTTTAATCTGTCTTATATTATATAATAATTGAAATAATTTTTGCTTAAAGTTTGTAATATCAATACAAATTAGTTTATCAATTTTACATTTTAAATGATTACTTTGTATGTAACAATTTAAATTATAAGATAATGATTTATCAAATAAAAATATTTTTATTTAATAATATTATACAATATTTATTCTAATTATTTCTATTTTTTAATCATTTTCAAATTACTCATATTTATTTTTACTTTATATCTATTATATATATTATATCTAATATACTATTTATATCTAATATATCTTTGATATCTAATATTCTTATTATATTAATTTTATAATTTTCTATTATCCACCTATCATTTTTTTTCTATAATAATATATATTCAAAAAAAATATTATTCTTTTACATATATTTTTAATTATATATTAAAATTTTTTTAAAATAATTATATAATAATATTTTTTAAAAAAAAAACTTTATCTATTTATTGTTAATTCTTTGAAAATTTTCTTTTATATCTCAATCATATTGCAAGTTAAAGAATATAATAACTTTAAAGATTATTATTATACTGAAATAAAATATTTGATTAAAGATTAAGCAAATTTGAGAAATTTGTTTATTTTTTAATTGTATAAGAAAAACTTGTGATTTTTTTTATAATTTTGTCTTTATATACTTCTTTTTTTAAAAAATTATATTTAAGCAAAGTTACTACTATAAACTACTGTATACAATATCCTGTATATTAATCATTCCACCAGAAAAATTATCTTGTGTCTATCTATATACACATTTATTCTCTTATTTGTAGCTTGCTAAAATTGATTAAAGTATGAGTCGCAATTGCAAAATTTGTCATTAGAAAAATTTCTGTTTCCGGATCATGAAGAATCTAATGACATATTTGCATTCGTTGGTATTTTAAATTTAAGCGAAGGAATTATATTTTTATTTTCAAATGACATTGTATAGGTTAGATAAAGTGATTAATCGAAAAGTAACTTCCAACCCTTCATGTCACATCGAAGTTTGAGACTAAAGGATATTACTGATAAAAGGATTTGAGTCAACGGGTTTTCCTTTAAAGAATTCGCACAGCTTTTACTATGGCATCTGGGTTACCATCAGATATTCTCACCGAGATTTTCGAAAATCTGGAGGATGAAAATGTGACGTTGTTTAGTTGTCTCCTGGTAAAGCGTTCTTGGTGCGAGGCTATCGTGCCCATCTTGTGGAGAAACCCATTGAAAGATGTGTACGAAAAAAACAAGAATGAACTACCCATTATGGTACAGTGTGGATATAATCAAATTCTATGCATCAAGAAAAACTTGATCTATCTTCTTAGAACTTTATTGTTATGCCTCTCCAACGAGTCAAAAGATCTTTTGTCCAAAAGTGGATACGAGTTGTCAAATGATGTCCTTCGACGACCGCGATATGATTACGCAAGCTATTGTCGATATATAAGCACCGCGGACATTTCCATGCTTATTTGGAATGGCATGAACCAAAAATATGCGTGTGACCCGTTCTTCAATTACATGATGTTTCTTGTTACGCAAGAGATTTATAAATTGTTTCTGGAAAAGAGCACCAAAATTTTCCAACTTTCGCTTATGTCTGGAGATCATTCTTTGTACTACTTTCCCGGCGCGAAATCGTCTTTGGCATCTCTCACGGTATTTAAATGTAATTCTTATGTGTCGTCTACGATCCTGTACGGCTTGGCACAATTTTGTCATAATATTGAAGATATTGCAGTTGAATTTTGCGATAAAGATCACGACGGCGTGAATTCTCTGATTCGAGTTCAAAAAGGATTGAAGTATTTTCAATGCAGAGTTATTAATAATAGCGAGGAGCAGCGTTGTCAATTACTCGGTGTTGCGTTGAAAACACAGGCGCGTTCGTTGTTAAAACTTGATCTCGGGAGACATAGCTGTATCCCACTAAAAATTATTACAGATTTTACTAGCTTACGCTACCTAAGATTTGGACTTTCATCCGAGATATCCGAGAATACCACCGAATATTTAAAAAGGGCTAGAATACCAAATCTGGAGACTCTAATAGTGGACGGAGATCCTGTCCGATCAGACATTCTAGAGCCTTTGATAATTAGCACTAATAGAAACCTTCGAAAATTACATATGAGCGGATGGTGTCCGGATGGCCTGGATAATCCAGGATTTCTCTTGCCAGTTTTAAGTGAACATTGTCCAAAGCTGAAATTCCTTACAATTTGGATAGATGATGACGATTTTGAGGAACTTGAGATTTTGTTGGACAAATGTCGTGAGCTAGAAGGTCTCTATTTACGATGTTCAAATATGCACTCGGATGAGCCTGGCCTCTTTAATATTTTGAAGAGTGCTGAAATACCCTATTTAAACAAGTTGAAACTTGAAGACTGTTGGTTGGTAGAGAAAGGAGATGCCTTTGAAGACTTCCTAAGGGTCCGGAAGAAAGGAAACGCGAAGCCAATTTCTCTTGAGGTAGTTGGTTATCTCAATTCGGACATGTATTTGGATATTTTATCATTGTATCGATGGTATGGAGTTTTAAAGGACACCAAAGTTTTGGTGTACGGGGAAGATTCGGCACCAGATGAAATCGTCCCATCGTGGAGAATCGCTGCGAGGATCTGAAATTTCCTAGTGATTCGTTTTTTTGTAATCTTCAGACGATTAGCAATAGCAATAGTTACATGTTTTCTAAGCGTCTAAATGTAATTCCAATATATTGACTCAATTTATTCTTCGTAAATTCACAAGCAAAAAAAAAAATAAATAGATCAAATATTAGTGGGAATATCAATATCGAAACAATATCCTTTAAGAATAACGAGGTCGAGGTACTTTGCAAAAAGATCATGAACATAAACACGAATTTCGTAATTATTTTAAAGATAATAGCAATTTCTCGGTCCTCTAAAATCACGTAAACCTTTGAATTAATGTTAGAATTGATATCATCTCCGGAGGAATGCGGGTACTGTTATTATCCGATTACCAGAGTATAGCATTGTGCATGTTATTGTACTAAACTTTCCATATATAAAATAAATACTAGCTTTACATTACTTAACCGACAAATACATATCGTATATTTCATAGCTATCCAATAAATGGTTTTTACTGTACACCTTTTCCGGCATACGTATATACCATATATACTGTATATTTTATAATAAGAAAAATAGCTTGTAATTGAAAGTTAATAAGTTAAAATTATTATCATGAAATTTAATTTATTGCACATGGTAAGTTATTTTGCTGTTGAGGATTTAAATACTGGTTGTTTTAATCCCAGTAGGGGATAAAGTTCGTTCCTAATTTCTTTTAGTTGTGGTACAGGGCCGTTCCTGTTATGGAGGGTAAAGTAATAATAAGAATTTGGAATTTAAGCCCAAGTGTCAGGAAAACGAAAATTATATAAATTACCAATCGGTATTGGCCAAAATATCTTCAATCTGCAACATCTCTTCAGATTCTTCGTCTTCGGCTGATGTGGTAAGAGCCATGTAAAATTGATCAGCAGTTGACCTACGAACCTATTGTTTTTAAGTAAGGTTAAATATTGATAACAACGTAGAAGCTTGACAGCTGGTTCTTGGTTTATTAATGATTTATACCTTTGGAAAAGAATGAACCAATAAACTTAGCAATTGGTACAAAGCACGAGTACGTACTGTACCGCCCAAAGATGTTATCCCACAAAAGCTAAACAAATGATAATGCGTGTTATCGTGATCAGGAAAATTCGCTTAAGATCAACAACGAAAAGAGGACCGATATCTTACACTCGCATACACGCGGTAATTTTTCGTATTTCACCGGTCTTCACAACTTCTTTCTTTGTGCATTCGAACAGATCCACAAAACTAAAGAAAAGTCAAATGTAATGATAACACCAAGTAATAACATAAGATGAAACAGGAAGCTGCCTGCTGAATATACCTGAAGCCATCAGAATCAATCTTCTGAAGGGTACCATTTTCAAACAAGAGATCTACAACTTCCAATAATGGAATGACAACACGATCTTGCCGCTCATATTTTCGAAATATGTCTAACAACGTCTTCGCAAAGTCTGTTAACGTGAATGACTCCGGTGTTGACTCGACTGGTAACTCATTCGCATATTCGAGCAATGTGCTACTAGAGTATCGGACCTACAATGCAATTATCAATTTTATTAATCGTATCAAAATTTCCAAAACGCACGATTGATCATTACTCACTAAGGATTCCGTCAAACCGCCGGCAGCGAGAACGAATCCAGTAAGCAAATCAAAACGATAATCGGGTAATACAAGCAACTTAATCATTCTCGGGTATAATTCCGACGGAGACATCCAATGAATCTCTTCATCTCTGTAAATTATAAAAAAATAAAATAAAATAAAAACCTTTAAACAGACATTAAAACACAGTCACAAAAAGAAATATATAGATCACCGTACTTTGACAGGATAGCTTGCAAAACTTCTCGATCAGGCACATTGAATAACCAATCATCGCCATTCGATGCCGATTTTGCATATAATAACTCTATTAACACTCGTCCGGCGCAACATCTAATCTTATCGATTCTTTCTACACTTTGTTTCAAAAGTTTACAAAAAACCTTTTTGCTCAACTCATCTGACCACCATTGTTTTTTATTAGGATCACTCCGGTCTAACTGTCTTATTAACGGACAAAATACGGAAAGTCCATTCATACTAGCTTCACGAACCCAAGAACCAATATCGCCACGAGAATCAGTGCTATAATCCTCTAAGCCGGTGAAAAATGCATTGAGCATTTCCTCAAATATTGCCTCTGTGCAAACTATTAATAAATGATTGCAATAGGTGTGTCAAGACTTACGTAAGATATCTATCAAGTGATCTTTAAGAATAAGGGAAAGACGCATACTAGTTTTAAATGATTCGCCCAAATTTCTAGTGATAACACTTAATGAGATTAGTGCATTCCTTCGAGTTTCCGGATCATTCCATACTTTAGTCTCCTGTATAGAATATCGCCGTTATGTTTTAACCGTGCAAGAACTAAAAGATCAAGCATTTTAAAAGAAAGATGTATCAAACCTGAAGTTTAGAGGACATAATCAAAGTATCAACTGATGGTTCCAGACATTCCGGAATTTTATCAAATTGTATCACTCCCAGAGCAAGAACGTAACCTCTTTTTGCATAAACATTTTTCGATGGAACACAGTGATCTATATAAGTGCAAAGGAATCAAGGAAATATCACAAGAAAAAGCGCAATTCCTTCACGAAAATTACATATGTTCCAAAAAGAAAATGACGAATAATTGCGATAATAAAAGAATATTTGAGAATCTCTTCTTTTTTTATTCCATATTGAGCTATAAGCGCCTCGATTGCATGCACGGCAATTTCCTGTCCATTTTCATCCTTACGAGACAGTAAGTCGTACACCACTCTATTCCACGTTTCCATTATCTCATCTGTTACTGACCATCCCGCTTTGGCCAAACACGCAATGTGACTAACCGCCGCCTGAACTGTAACCTCAGAGCCAAAATCAGTAAACAAACTTTTGGGTAGAGAACCGATTATATTGGATATGCTCTACAGTTTAAAATAGAAATAATATTGATTCTCCAAATGATATTAATGATCAGGTAGAAGAATTGTTATAACGAATACCGTAATTAATGAACTGTGTTTTTCCATCCAGCTTCTGTCGGTTCCCTGAAGTTTAGACCATGCAAGGCATACTTCTCCGATTGCTAATAATGCACCATGTCTTGTGTGCATGTCGGGAGATGTCGCATGAGGTATCTTGAAAATTATAATGGTTTTACCGTACAATAATAGGATACGTAATAGAATCGTGTTACCGTTGAAAAAGAACATACCAAAGATGGAAGAACCTTGCCGATCATATAGTCAAGATCAAGGCGCGTTAAATTGTGCAGAGCTTTTGACCCTAAAACTCGTATAGTTTTGTCCCAATTTGATATTGTTACAGTGCTGAGATGATCTATGATATGGTGCTTGTACTCTACAAATCTACAAAAATATATAGACGTCATTGACAACGCAAGCGTCTAGAGAAGTTAGATGGGGAAGTAACGACTATGCATACTCTGCAATTTTTACGCTTATTTCAAGGAACGCGTTAGCCCTATTGCCTACAGTAAAATAATCCGCCGTGGTGATGATCTCTATACCATGTGGGAAGATGCCCTAAATAACGATAAAATCAGAAAGCGACATATCAATTACAACTGCAAATAAGAATAAAAAAAAGTGTAGAAAATCTACTAACCAACCTCCCAACATTCTCTTGGAAAGCTGCACTACTAGCACGCCTGACATTGACCTCGCGGTCAAATAAAGAAACAACAACAAGACTGTTGGCCAATTCCGCCACGTGTGGTGCAAGAACTTCGGGCGCATAAGCCCGAGCAAATGACCAGCACACATAGCACGCTGCATCTCGAACATGGGTTCCAATTGAATGAGATCCGCGTTTCAAGTCAAACTTCAATGCCTGAATTAATTACAACATGATATTTGTAATAATCAAATCAAGTCAAATCAAAAAAAAAAAAAAAACTGAAGATTTACCCTGCTAACCCACGGGATAACTTCTGATAATCGATCGGGAAGTAATAAACCCCTTCTGGCCAATTCAGCAACGGCCAAACACGCACCATGCCAAGTGTTATCAGAAACCGCTGATAACTCGAGTACATCCTTACGCATATAAGTATTTTCCGAAAACAACTCAAACAAAGATCCTATGATATCATCAGCAAGTTCCTGTGGTAATCGTTGTGCAATACGGCCCAAGCCTTTCGCAGCAGACCAACGTACCACCGTATCCTGTTGTGGAAGAATAAAATGATAAATAATAAATGTTTGGATATAAATAACTGGGTAATTGACATGGTCAAATTACTTTGTTTCGCAACCCGTTCAATAATATTTCGACTATTTCCTCAATCTGATCTGGAATTTCTTCGTCATTCTCAACATCATCCTTTAAAGATTGTTGAACATTTGAAGGATCAATTCTCTTAGTATTTAGTGGTCCCTCTAAATTATCTTTGAGTGATCTGTTCCCTGAGGTTCATTAAATTGTTGAATAGATAAAATATGTAAACGGACATGTAAATAGATTCAATGTGTCAAAGAAATCTTGATATTTCACCTCTTTTATACCTCCAAGAAGCTACTTTGGGTCTTAGGTAACATAATCCAAATCTTTGAGCCAACTTGACCAACATTTTCCTTACGAGGGTGTTATTAGAAAATATTTGGTCGCCCTCAAATGAGAAAAGGCAATTCCACGCAATGTCTAAGGTTGGCAATAAGGTTTGCCTTTGCCCTAGTTTGTATATGGCGCAAAGGGATGTGAGAATACCTGTGATCTAAAATTTGTTAAATTGTGCTATTTAGTAAATAATGATAGAAACTAATATGACTAAATCAAAGCCACAGTGGTGCTCCCTGATTTCTGTACCGTAAACACGTCTTTATTGTTTCTAACTTCATCTTGCGCCCATTGAATGTAATCAGCGAGATATATTTCAGCTATATCCCGCCTTCAATCGAAATATCGTTATTTAATATAAAGTTTTCCACTAATGGAACATTCTGTTATTTCATAATTGCAACTATTTGTCTTTCTAACCTTGTCAACAAACGCGATAAAAGGACTGCCGCACCATCCCTTTCTTTACCAGTCACCTTTAGGTAAAACTTTGCCAGATCAATCATATGATCAACAAGAGGAAACTGCAGACAAAACCATCATCCAAATTTAGTTTAATTTCACTTGCAATCATATTCGTTAATAATACATGTACATATTATATTAAGAAACAGAACCATGATCTCACCTTATTTCCCCCTGCAACGGCCAGACTGTCCACAGTTTTTAAATCAAACGGTATCATACATATAAGTGACAACCATATCAATAATACATATCTGGTCTCCCACTCAGTATAGTCCTTAGGATCCAAAGCGACCAAGAAGTAAAAAGTCGGTTCTAAATCTGAAACTTCATGTGAAAAAAATTTCACTATCGAAATTTTTTCAGGCATAAATTTCGAGATTACGTTCTGTTAATCAACATATACCTCATAAAATGAATTTATAAACATAACATACACTCACCAATTGTTTTAAATCCACGAATTTTCATAATATAATACATAAGTATAAATAATCTTTTTACATTTCCCGGCACCTGAACTTTATAATTTTCTGCATTTTTTGAAATTATCCGTTCATGGGCATTAACCGATCTGATATAATCGCGGAGTAGCTCAATTATTGGCTTAACCATATTTTCCAAGTGCGGGTCAAGAAGAAATGGTTGCTCTTGATAGGGATCAATCTGTGGCATTATAAAAAATTTACATCAAATAAAATCGCATAAAGTTCAATCTAGTTTTTTTCAAAAAGAAAAAGAATCGGTCGAATTGACTATGAATTACCAAAGCAATTAATTTTCTCAAAATTCT